GGTACGGCGTAATATTTGCAATAGTAGCGGTGCAGAATATTAGACAAGAATCAAGTGACTGGCTGATATTATTTTATGATATGCACAGTATGAGTAATGTTACCTTGATGCCAGGGGACAGTAGCTTGCTCGCACTGTGGGGGCTGAAATGAACGAATAATAAATAAATAAATAAATAAATAAATAAATAAATAAATAAATAAATAAATAAATAAATTAGGGAATAAATGAATGAATGAATGAATGAACGAGCAAGCGAACGAACGAACGAACAAATGAACAAACAAACAAACAAACAAGCAAACTCTCAGTTACCTTGACTCGTAGATTCCACACAGGATGACCAGCTATATTTGGACCAATCATCTGTTCTACCACATTTAACAGTCTGTCATTGGACCACAGGTTTCTGAATGCCTACAAGTACACAATTCATAAATGTTATATATAATCATGGTAGGCCTACCCGTTATAGATCACATGACGTACACGAGTACATCTAATTGGTTGAGAAATACTACAGCTAACAACCAGAGCCAATCAGATTTAGACATCAGAATTATATCGAATAATTTACGTAGCTCAGTCACCTACCTGGGATAGCCGTCCGCTGTGTTTATGTAAGACGACTCCTGCTCCTGGAAACTCTTTTTCGATCAGAGCAAATCGCTGGAAGAGTCCAGCTTCAATATGCTTATCTAAGAAAACGTTTACATAGAATTATTTAATTCAGCAAAGTAGATTGCATGTCATGTTTACAATCTTATGCAAATCACATAATTACTAGTATAATGTAATCAAGTTTTTACCATATGGCTAAATACAAAGGCGGGGGGGGGGGTACAAACTTCTTTCAAGAATAAGAACACTGATTTGTTTATTCCAACATAACGTAAAGCACTAATTTGGCGACTTTTCAAATTGAAAATTGCTCATAAATAAATAAAACTGACGTTCCTATTGTAAAAACTACTTCGGTTTCCCCCAAGTTTTCTCTGCGGACTTTTAAATAGCCAACCACAGTAAATAACTTTCAGTACATTCTTTTAGTGGGATAGCCACTTCCCGTATTCTTAATAACGGAAGCACAGACTAAACCTTAAACAGAATAACAATATTGTTTGCAATCTTGTTGTTAAAAAAAAACACGAGTACACACAGAGAACACTCGGATTTAGGGGGAGGCGCGACAGGCCTAGCCAACGTAAATAAGAGGGGCCCCTCTTACCTAATTTCGGGATCCGCCAGTGGAGAAGTTTGTGAAACGCGAAATTGTACACAAATCATGGAATATAATGCCAGTAATAACGTTGTTTATTTGTCTCTATATATTGTTTTTACAATGTTGCGTGTCCAATGCCAATGCTTTCGGGGAATTGTGATTCTATAAAATAATGAAGTCAAACAACGTCTTCCGAAAGGTGGCGCTATTACTGCGACATAGTTTAAGATCGTAAAAAGGATGTGTTCACAATCGTCTATCTACTATGACTTCTGATTTATTGACCATATCTATTATATGTACGTCAGACTTGGCTAAGCGAGTTATCAGATTTATATATGTCAACGAGGTCCGATTGTCATGACTTATATTGTTTTGGACATGGTAACATTGTATATTCACCTTTAATTTTGCCAGAGTCATACAATTTGTTTACAAGCGAGTCTACGCATGTTTCTATGGCATCTCTGACAGGTTGCAGCTCATCTTTACTGAAGAAATCGGGCACCATAAGATAACCCTTAAATATAAGAAAGTATTGAATATTAAAAAAAAAATGTGGTTTAACCTAAGAATCAATCAAAATTACATTATAATTTTGTGTATGTATAATTGTAAAATTATATATATCGAAATTCTATAATTATCATTACTTTACGTTAATCATCTGGCGTCTGTCTTCCATGTGATGCCCCATGGCTTCGGTTTGGGGCGTTTTTGACGCACCCACCACCGTCATTTACAGGCCGGCTTATTCTTAATCGAGCAAGCACCTATTTTTCTATCAGATAAAACTAATCTAGTTTGGTCAAATAAATGGGATCATGTAAACCGGGCTTCAATATTCTGAATCTCCAACCCAGAAATTTGGACAAGCAACTGACTTTAGTTTTACATAACGACGCCCCCTTAAAAATTTATGCCTACGCAAATTGTCGGTCACATGACCTAATTGATGAAATTCGCTAAATCATACTTTTACAAGCATTACAAATAATCGCGCACACGATAATGTTATGATTTACTGATTTATGCTCATAGTATCGTAGATTTTACCCCCCTCAAACGAGTTTGTAAACATACCCGTATTTAAAGTACATTTCTAGGGTTCAAAAACAATGAACAGATAATATTGTGAAAGGCAAAACAATGACCAACCCATGGCTGAGGGGCAGCACGTCAAACGGAAGAGCTAGTGATGCCCCAATGGGAACACACCACAATTCACCGTGACGCATCCGAATGCAAATGTTCCCGGTGTGGTATTTATTAAAATCTTCACGAATACATTGGGCTATTCTACTATGAACGTTTCTATTTGTGTGCATTTTTTTAATTTTTTTTTTCTAAATAGATACACACTCATTAATATGAATTTTCTTTCTTCAACACGCTGCGTCGATATCAAAATCTAGACATTTACGTTTACGTCTGTTTCATGAATTACCTAAAATAACGCATAATTTAGCGTTAATTGTTACAGACCACTTTCACATTCACATTTGTTACACGTTCAGTCATGTAACTGCCATTTTCTCAGTTTTAATTAAAATTAACTCCGATTATCAAACTAGAGACTTGTTCGCACATAAATATTCAGTTACACAATATGTCATCACTACATTTTAAATAGACTGTGACATCATTAAATTGGTTTGCGCAATGCATCATAGGAGTATGTGGCCGGTGAAGGGGCGGGGTTTGATCATGAAATTAGTACCTTCCATGTTTACAACAACGACTGTTGAACACAGGTGTACTTTGCTGAATTGAAGACGTACGTATCGCAATTACGGGGCTTATGTCGAGGGCTCATGTGAGTGTCGACGTTTTATGGGCAATGACCTCCCCGTGACCTCTGGTATGCTACATTTCCACGTAACCGTTACGTCTTACCTGTTCGAAATAATGTCTTACTTGACAGTCACTTAGCTGACCTGGTTTCGACTCTCTGGGTTGCACTGGAACTGTCGAGAACAACCCAGGATTTGGCGCTATTTCAGGCTCGGAAAACATCGGAATAAAATGGTGGTAATGAGGGTCACAGCTTTTGTTTGGTCACGTGACTTGTTTTATATAGATAGGGTGATGTTAACACGCTGGTTTTCGGTGTACCAGAGAGTGTTTACCTATATCGCATCATATGTGAACTAACTTAAGGGGGAGGGGATACTTCCTCTCTGTTGATATTGACGACGGTCCGTACATGGCTCACTGGACCGCAAAAATCACCGGATGTTTCTATTCTAAAGTGTGTGCCAGTGTTCAATTAGCGGGCGGATGAAGGCATGTAATATAACGCAGTACTGAGCTGTCGCTGTTTTAATGTTGCATTTTTATGATCAGCATTAAAAATTACCAGTAGGTTTTTCGAACTTCAGACACCAGGACTGAACATCGAAACAATGTCAACTGATTAATGACATGACTCGGAACTGAGACGTTACTAAACTTTAATTAGGTTGTTTGCTTATATGCTCATCGAATAAGAGTCTACAGTATTCAACGCATATTATATTAACTATTTTTTTCAAACTAACTAACTGTTTAAATTAGGTTATGTTTTGAATGGGTTGAAACTAGGTACATGCTGTTTGTGAAGATAAATTACTGATAATATTTTATAGAACTATGCATATTAATTAGCTTGTTTGCATGCTAATTACATGTAACGTATTATATCAATACAAGAAAAAAATTATTCATAAGTATTTCGCATAGTTAGCAATAATTAGTGTATATTGAAAAAAAAGATTTTCCCATCTCCATGGAAACCAATAATGGCATTTTAACCAACGTATATTGTGAATGTAAGTTATAAAAATTAATAATTTACATCAAGGGTATGGAACCACAATTTGTTAAATGATTTGAATAGCCGTATTTAAAAAATATCTTCTGTATGCTGTAGTTATTTAAAGAGGGAGAGTCGTCACCTGCGCACGCGCGGGAATTGAGTCCCAAGCGACGATAACAACACACGCTAAAAACGCAAAGGCTCATGGGTAGACGCTTGTTTGTAAACAGTGACACGCTATGGCCATCTGACGCATGCACAGGTGACGACACCACCGCTTTAATAAGCAATCGACACCTTTTGAACTGGGCTGGAAACATGTTTTGTAGGTAGTTTTG